GCCTCGCCCAGGAAGAGCGCAATGATGGTGCCAACTTGGGCCAGTGAAGCGACGTCCTCCACAACTAGACTGAAGAACAAAACGACAGCAACTTGTCTATTCCCCTTCCCCCAATTCCCCAGCATTGTTCCCATCCCCCCTATTCCCCAATTTAAAAAAAAATCTTTAAAAGAAAAGAGTGCGAGCTCTGAGCAACAGCGGTTTGAGCTGCCAACAGGTGGCAGGATGGCTCAGCTTAAAAAATATATATATATAAAGTATATACCTTTCCTTGTTGGTAGTGAGGGAGTTATTGTGTTGGTTCTTTGTTTCATTGTTTTTAATAGAGCATTATTGCTTGTGTGATTATTAATATGTATACCAGTTGAAAAAATTTCAGAAAACTTGAAAGAGAAAAGAAAGTAAAAATTACCCATCTGCATAATCTGATCATGCAGAGCTACCCACTGTTGATGCTATTACATACCTTTTCCAGCTTTTCCCTGTGCATTACACAAATAGACATCTATTTTAAACAGAAATTAAATCATAGCATATCTGTACTATCTTGTAATTTTTAAAAACAATATTTTTGGACATTTTTCATGTAAAGTATTTGAGCCTATATCATTATTTTTAATGGTTGCATGGTATTTCATGATGTAAATATGCCATAATTTATATACCTAATACCAATTTTTTCTAATTTTTCTATTATAAGTAACAAAGCTCTGAATTTCCTCATTCATTTGTCTGTCTGATTATTTCCTTAGGATATATCTTAGAAGTGGAATACTGCAAAGTGTATGCATATTTTTGAGGCTTTTTAAGAAATAGTTTCAAACCGCTATCCCAATCTTTTTGCCTAAATATATTGTATGATTGTTTCCCTGTCACCACATTACCTATTATTATAACTTTTTTTATAGACAGTAAAGTATAGAAGTCAAAAGTGTCAATTGTGCAGCCAGACTGCCCGGGATTACATACAGCTTTATTCCTTACTAGTTTTATGACCTTGAGCAAGTGACTTAACTTTTCTGTGCCTCAGTTTTTTCATCTGTAAAATGGGGACAATAATAGTACCTACCTCATAGGGTTGTTGAAAGGATTAAGTGGATTAATATGTGTAAAGTGTTAGAATAAATAGTAAAATACATAGCAGGCTTCATATGAAAATTAGCTTATTATGTTAATCTTTTACCAGTTTTATATGTGACAGGGGCTTTGATTTTCATTTCTTGGATTATGAGTCATGGTGAATAATCAGTGCTTCCTGAATTCTTTTTTTGTCCCAATCAGTTTCTAACTTCCTCGTAGTTAAAGGGGAGCTTTTAGAGTTTGTTTGAGGGCTCCTGGAAACTCATGGATTCTCTCTCGGTTGGGTTCCATCATTCAGGTTCACAGATGGAGCAAAGCTGTTGTTTCATCTGCGGCAGCTGCTGAAGGAGTTGAAGGGATTGAGTCGCCTGGTTAGCTATCAGGATGACCCTCTGACCAAAGGGGTGCACCTGCAGGAAGCCCAGGTTACAGAGTTGCTACAGCGTCTGCTCCACAGGTATAGAAGCCAGGGAGGGACTTCTAGGGAGGGCAAAGGGAAGAACAAGAGGAGCCATTCTTACAGATGCCGAGCTGTATATTCTCTCCACATCTCTCTTCCCAGAGCCTTTGTGGTAGAAAACCAGCCCTGTATGCCTCAAACTCCTCATAGACCCCTCATCCTGAGGACTGGGAGCAAGTTCACTGTCCGAACAAGGTTGGCATTTCAGAACTCATTATTGCTTCCTTTTTCCAGGCCTGATACCATTCACTTCCTGGCTTTACATATCTTTCCACTCTTGGCTGTTTCTTCTCTTTTCCCCTCAATCCACCTATCTCTTCTAACCCCTTCCCTTATTTTTTTCAAACATCTGGTCTTATCCAGGAGGTTGAGGTTGACCACTTTCCCTCATCCACCTCCCTTCTCCCCAGGCTGCTGGTGAAACTCCAGGAAGGCAATGAGTCACTGACTGCAGAAGTCTCCATTGACAGGTAAATTGGGGCAGGTGAAGGATGGGACCAAGGGGTGCCCAGGACATGGGCTAGAGGGGCAGAATAGACACCTCCTCTTCACAAGGCCCTGTGGCTATGTTCTTCCCCCTTCCATTCCTACCTCATAGAAATAATAACTCATTCCTTTTGTTGAGGACTTACTGTGTGACATACAGCTTATCAGATACTCATTTAATTGTCTAGGAATCTTATGAGTTAGGTATTATCAATGCACCATTCAAACAAGCTCAGAGAGATGATGTCTCTTGTGCAAGGCCACATAGCTAGTGAGCTGCATGTTGGGGTTTGAACCCAGGTCTGTCTGATCCCAAAGACCAAATTCCTAACTTCTCCATTGTTTGCTTCCCAGTGATTTTTTCTTTTTCGTATTTATTTTTAGGAATCCTCCTCAATCACAAGGGTACGTACCTGACAAGGATGCTGCAAACATTTGTGCACTGTGTGACCTGTGGACTGGGACCACATATGGTGGCCCCGATGGGGACACAAACAAGGGGGAGGCTGATTTTGGTGGAGTACGGGCAGAGGGAGGAGGGGAGGTCTTAAATGAAGTGGAACTTTTGTTTTCCTGCTGAATTTTTAGAGTAACTCTGCTGTTGTCCTTCATATATCTTCTTCCTCCTAAAATAGCTTCCGGAAGTTCAACATTCTGACCTCAAACCAGAAAACTTTGACCCCTGAGAAAGGGCAGAGTCAGGGTTTAATTTGGGACTTCGGCTACCTGGTAAGGCTGGTTAGTAGCTCAAGCTCCTAGTCCATTGGAACAGACCGGGGGAAGTTCCCAGGCCTTGGGAAGTCCTGAGAGCACAATGAGTTCCAGGGATGCTGGGTTCCCTCCTCTGACATTCTCTCTTCTTCCCCCCAATTCACAGACTCTGATGGAGCAACGTTCTGGTGGTTCAGGAAAAGGCAGTAATAAGGTGAGGCCTGGATAGAGGATTGGGGGGCAAGAGGAATGTGCCAAACCGCCCTCTCATCACTGTGTTCGGCTGTTCTAGGGACTGCTGGGCGTAACAGAGGAACTGCACATTATCAGCATCACAGTCAAATACACCTACCAGGGTCTGAAGCAGGAGCTGAAAGTGAGTGGAAATGGAGGGCAGGGAAAGGTGAAGCAGATTTGGGAGAAGGCATAAGGAGGGATTAAATGGAATCCTCTCGGGGTGAGATATTCCCTCTTGCCCCTACCAGATGTCTAAAGCTAGAATCACTACAGCCTCCTCTGTGATTCTTGCCTTCCCAGACGGACACCCTCCCTGTGGTGATTATATCTAACATGAATCAACTCTCAATTGCCTGGGCCTCGGTTCTCTGGTTCAATCTACTCAGCACAAACCCCCAGGTAGGAGGTGGGGCCAACAGGTGAAGGGTGGCAAGGAGGGGTGTGGAAGCTTGATGTGTGGGCGCTGCTTCTGAGCCATCCTGCCCTCCTCCCACCCTGGCAGAATCAGCAGTTCTTCTCCAGCCCTCCCAAGGCCCCCTGGAGTTTGCTGGGACCTGCTCTCAGTTGGCAGTTCTTCTCCTACGTTGGCCGAGGCCTCGACCGGGACCAGCTGAGCATGCTCAAGGACAAGCTGTTTGGTATAGACCTCCTTTTCTCTCAGCCTAGCCCTCGTCCTTTCCATCCCAGCACCCCTAACCTCGTCTCCTTCCATCATCTGAACTGTCTGCCCACAGGGAAGAACTGTAGGAATGAGAATGCATTGTTGTCCTGGGCTGACTTCACCAAGGTAACTCCCTGCATCCTGTGCAGCTAGATCCCGACCCCTAGTCCAAACACTCTCCCCTCCCCCCACACTCCTTCCGTACACCAGGGGCAGCTCGCTCCACATCTCTTCCCTGCCTTTCCATTCCTCCTTCAGCGAGAGAGCCCCCCTGGAAAACTACCATTCTGGACATGGTTGGACAAAATCCTGGACCTGGTACATGACCACCTAAAGGATCTCTGGAATCGTGGGTGAGACCTTGGTCAGCCTGCCTCTCCCCACGCTGCCCCACCCTACCCCAGCTGTCTTCTGGGCTTGAGAGTGCACTCTGTGCGCCCTCTTGTGGTAAATAAAGAGAGAGCAAAAACTGGTACAAGGTCACACCCCCGCACATTTGCAATAATAGTTGGAGCCATTATTTGTTAAGCATCTACTGTGTTCCAGAGCCTGCTGGGTGCTTTCATGAATTCTGTCATGTAATTCTTACAGCCATGCTCTGGTGGGCATTGCCACCCTCATTTCAAGTGAGGAAACTAAGGCTCAGAGAAGTCAAAGAACTTATCCAAGGGGCTGAGTTGGGATTTGAACCCAGGCCTGTCTGACCCCAACCCTATGCTCTTTCTGCCACACTCCCTGCCCATTTATACAACACTTTGCCTTTCACAAGGTGCTTTTCATCTGTGTGAGCTTACAGAGTCCTCACACACATCTCTTCCAACGCTGGGGCTGGGGGTGGATATTGCCAGTAAAGTGAAGTGACTTGGCCAGAGTGGGACAGCTTGTTAAGTGGCAGAACCAGGGCCAAAACAAGGCACTCTCTACTTACCCAAGGGGCAGGAAGGCAGGAGGGTCTCACAGCTGCTTTCTCCGCTCTAGACTCATCATGGGCTTTGTGAGCCGGAGCCAGGAGCGCCGGTTGCTGAAGAAGACCATCTCCGGCACCTTTCTACTGCGCTTCAGTGAAACATCGGAAGGGGGCATTACCTGCTCCTGGGTAGAACACCAGGATGATGGTCAGCTGCTCTGCCCTGCCGTTCCCACAGCCTCTCCTTTCTGTCCCCCTGCTTGCCTTTGGCTTCCCTGGCTCTGTCCTGAATCCCTCGGCAGGTCTGGGGTTGGGCAGCCAGGTTGGGGAGCACCCAGGCTCAGCCTCTCCCCTCGAGCCTGCCTTTTCCTACATCCACTTTCCAGATAAGGTGCTCATCTACTCTGTGCAGCCCTTCACCAAGGAGGTACTGCAGTCACTGCCGCTGACCAAAATCATCGGCCAGTACCAGCTCCTCACTGAGGAGAACATACCTGAGAACCCACTGCGCTTCCTCTACCCCAGAATCCCCCGGGATGAGGCTTTTGGGTGCTACTATGAGGACAAAGGTGAGAGTATTTGACATACTTCACTGGGAGATTGCAGGGATTCTCAGGCATCCACAAATCCATCTCCTTCCTGCCAAACATGGGAAAGTCAGTATCCAGAGAAGTTAAGGGATTTGTCCATGGGACACTGCCAGTTAATAAGGAGATATGACTGTCAGGACCACCTATACTAGGGCTGTGTCCAGTTCCCTGACCTCCCACCTCCTGTGTATGTCCCCCACAGTTAATCTCCAGGAACGAAGGAAATACCTGAAACATAAGCTCATTGTGGTCTCTAACAGGTGAGAACTCTTTGACCATCCTCCCTAACCCTTTTTGGCTGACATAGTGACCCAAACCTGCCCAATTCCAGTCTCTCTGGCTTCTCTCCTACTGACCCACACTCTCCAGCCCTCTCTATCTTCTAGTCTCTCTCCTTTCTATTTTCCTGCTGCCATTCTTAGGTTGTCTCCACTGGGGTTCCCCGATAATAATAGTCATAATCACTGATGTTAACAGGCATCTTGATGCCAAACATGGTACTAGATATTTTTAGAACTTTTTAGAAATTTAATCCTTGTGAGAATCCATCTAATGTAGGTAATACTAACAGCCACATTTAATGAAAGTTCATTATGTGCCAGTCACTGGGCTAAAGCTTTGTGTTTATTTTCTCAATTATTGAATCTATAATAGTCCTGTGAGGCAGACACTTTTTTCAGCTGAGGAAACAGGTTTAGTGAAGTGGCGTGCCTAAGGCACATGACTACTAAAGGGTCCGAGTCTGTCAGATTTCAAAACCCTGCTTTAAACCATCCTACTGCCTCTCAAGTATTGTTAGGTATTGTTCCCATTTTACAGATGATAAATCTGAGGCTCAGAGAGGTTAGGTAACTTGCCTAAGGTCACCCAGCTAGTACATGATGGGATTAAAACTCTGGCAAGCCTGAATCCAAAGACTGTGCTCTTAAGCCCTCTGCTCTGTTGCCTTCTTAGACCAGAGAGGTAGCCTCTGCTTGCTCTACTATTCCCCACTTTACCTAAACAATTGCCCCCTTTGTCTGTATTGGGGTTTCCAGACAGGCGGATGAGCTGCAACATCCACTGGAGCCTAATCTGGAGCCAGAAGTGGAGTCGTCAGAGCTGCACCTAGGGCTGGCACCAGGGCCGGAGCCAGGGCTCGGCCTGGGGTTAGAGCCACTGCTGGAGGCAGGGCTGGATTTGGGGCCACCGCTGGAGCTCACACAAAGAGTGCCAAAGCCAAATCTGGGACCAGAACTGATGCTGGATCCTATTCTAGAGCCTACTTCACAGCTGGTGACAGAGCCAGAGCCAGATTTGCCCCATGATCTGAGACACTTGAACACTGAGGAGATGGAAAGTAAGTGATGACATGGGGCTGGGGAAAAGGGGATACATTCCCCTTCCCAGTTCCCCTCCCTCACCCATTACAGAACAGGCCCAGATCTAAATTCCTCATTGGAAAGGAGGCTCGATTCCTTGTGATTCCTTTTATTAGGAAATGTACATACCATACCTCCCCCAGCCCCACCTAAGTGCCACCTCAGGCTCTGTCCAGGCCTCTGCTGCCATCCATCCTTCCTCACATTCCTTGCTGGGTTGGGAACTCCTTGCCTAAGATCAGGGCCTGACTTCTTTCTCTGGACTACCCAGTCTTCAGAAACAGTACGAAGATTGAAGAAATCATGCCAAATGGAGACCCACTGTTGGCTGAGCAGGACACCGTGGATGAGGCTCACATCTTCTACCCCAGCCATTTCTACATCGATGGGCCCTTGCTTCCTTCTGACTACTAGGAACTACGTTTCCTCTGTTTGTTCCATATCTTTTACTCCTCCTACCCCTCACATCATGATGTTGCTCTCCAAATCAGGCATGTGCCCCATCTAAGCTGGGTTAACCCTGTGATTTGGAGTGAGAGGTAAAAGCATAATATGGGTAAGGAAGGGGCACCAGTGAATCAGAACAGATGCTGGCCATATCTCTAACTAGGATCCTGGAGGCTGCCTGTTATGCTGGGAGGTGTAGAAGTTGGGAGCAGGACAGGACAGGTAGGGGTACTTAAAGGACTCAGGGCAGCTGCTTCTTTCCAGTATGGAAGGATTTCAACATTTTAATGGCTGGTTAAGACTAACCTGGTGCCCACTAGCTTTGTTCCTCAGTGGGGAATAGACACTGATAGGACTCCATTTCTCTCTTCTGGTTCCCTCATATCTAGGATAACCTTTTCCTTTCTTCTTCCCCTCACTCCTGACTCAAGTCCTAAATTTCCTCTTTTCCTGCAAGGACTGAGAGCTCTGCCTCAGTCATCATGTGAAGCTCCCCTCTGAGGAAGGAAATAGGAGGTAGATCTCTTCTTATCAGTCCCCTGCCCCCCAAGTTAGCAACAACCCAGTCCTTCCCCTCAAAATGATCCTAATGTGCCTGTGAAGCTTTGCACAATAACTTATTCTGCCTAGTCTCCACTTTCCCAATGCTTAGCAGACAAATCACTCCTGGAAGCCAGGGATGGTAGTTGCTGGGAATTTAGGAATTGCTTCTTGTTTTATTAGATAGAATTTGGTATTTTTACAGAGGAAAGGAAGCCCTGAGTCGTAAGATATTTCTCTATTAAGGTATCATTCCCTTGCTTTTGTACAATATACTGTTTACCTGAAAAGAAGGTTCCTATTCCTTGGGCATAGACCTAGGCAAATATTAGTTCCTGGAATTTAGCACCTTGAAGGTTTATCATGGGGCTCTGGACAACCTCACACCTTAGCCATTCCCAGGGAACCCCAGGAAACTGCTGTTGCTCTAAGATGTGCTTCTACAGTAGTATAACTTGAGATGTAAATGAAAGTGAGGCCCTATACATGTGGATGTTTTCTACCTGGTATGTTAAGGAACAGTCCTATTCAGAAAGAGGCCCTTCTGTGAGTCCCGTTAGCTCAGTTGGTAAAGTAGCAGAAAGGGGCCCTTCTGAGCATAAGTGGCTAATAAACTTTGTGCTGACCTGGAAGCATTTGGTCTCTGAACTTCTCTACTTCTTTGCTCATAAAGACTAATGTCCTTGTAGACAACAGCAGGCCATGGAGGACCAAGGTCAGCAAATCATGGCCTGTCTTCCACCCCCGTATGCCCCTCCTGTAATGTTTCTTCTTACCTCCTTATTTAGAGCAACTTTTTCTCACCCTTAGAAATTCTTCCAGGGAAGCTGTAAGCTATGTATAAGTTGGGAAGGGTTATTAGTTACATAACTAGCCCGTTGTCCCTTCGCTGGGTGGTGGCAAAACCAAGATATAAACCTGAGTCTGTCTGACTCTAAAACTCGTGCCTTTTTTATTTTTGTAATGATGGAGAAAAGGAAAGGAAATAATCTCTAACCCCTTCCCCTTCTCTTTCTTTCAAAGATAGTTTATATCCCTTTGAGTAATCAAACTGCCTTCTGAAGGGGCCCACAGAAGGGAGATGTCCTTTAAGGGAGAACCATATTAGTTTGGGGGATTTACCTTTATCTTCCTGGAATGCCCTTCCTGCTCAAATGCCTCTGACTTTTTTTTTTTTAAGATTTTATTGGGGAATCAGGGGAGGGAAACAGACAAGTTGCTGTCCTTTTGTTCTTACAGTCTAGTTGTGGAGGACGTCGCTTCACTGGCCCATGTTGGTATCATCATTGCACTCTTCCCGGGTGAGGCAGATCAGTCACCAGCCACTGGACGGTCGCTCATGGCGGCTCTTGGCAGCTCATGCCAGCTGCCGGCCACTCATGCCAACTGTCAGCCACTCATGGTAGCTTTACGGCAGCCCACTGTAGCCTCACTGCAGCCTACGCCGTCGCCGGCAACTGACAGCAGCCCAGCTCCAGGTCGAGCTGTTGTTCACCATCTTAGCTGTAGAGGGTGCAGCATCACTGGCCCTCATGTGGGATCCGAACCGGGGCCCTGTTGCTCAGAGCTGGCATTCCAAGCCAGCTCTTAACCAACGTGCCACTCAGCCGGCCCGCCTCTGACTTTTGATGTGCAGTGATCAGGATTCCTGTCTTTAGCCAAATACACTCCTGGCCAAGAAAGCAGGGAAAGAGGCATTGGGAGCAAGAGAGGGGCCCTGCGTCCTAATCTCAGCCCATTCATCTTGTTTAGCCATACAGGGATTAAGACCAAAAAGATCCCAGTTACTGTATATACCAGGGGGGTCATAAGGAAATACCCTCTTCACCATAGCCCTGCAGAGTAGAAGGATGCATTTTGTAGTCCCTTGGCCCAGTTTTTCCATTCTGTTTCTTTTTCTAAACCAAATCTAGAAACTAGACTCAGATATCCACATAAATAGGTTTATTGAAAAAAAGTACATAATTTAGTATAAATATAATAAATAATCATCCTCCCCAAACTGCTGCCATGAGGATAAATAATCCCAAATTTTCCCTTTCCATCTAATAAATACTCAACATGTCCTAGGTCAGCGTTATTAAGTCAGTCAGTTTTGGTAATTTTTCAATACATGCAAGTCCCATTAGAATTGATGGACTGATTGAACTTGTTGGCTCACAGGGGCCTCGGCTACCTGATAGGTTCATCTTGGCATTGCTGAGCCATGGAGATCTGGGTGCCATCCTTAAGCTGTTGGCTTTAGGGGCTCAGGGTTGCTGCTCCATGGGCAAAGACCCGGGCAGCTACAGCCACAAAGGCCTTGAGGCTGCGAAGAACCTTGAGACGGAGAAAGGGGCGCTGCCAAGGTTGGCTGGGACTGGGGCTTGGAGTCTGTTCCGTCTCCCAGTGGCGCCCCTCAGGCTGAAAGGACACAAGACACAATTAGAGAGGATCCTAGATCCTTCACCCCCCAGTCTGTGGAGAGACTGCAAACCACCATCCTCCAGGCCCCTAGTTCATACCTGTAAGAGTTGCCTGAGACCCAGTAGGGAGGAGTGAAGCTGGCTCACAGGGCCATTGGGAAGTAAAGAAGGCTCCCCTGTGAAAATGTCTGAGTCCAGCAGCTTCTCATAAAAGACCAGGCCCTGGTGGATCCTTTGCAAACAGGACTGAGGAAAAAAGAAAGCGGTGAAAGAAAATAGATACCCTCTTCCTGCTCCATTCACCAAAGACCAATCCAGTTCTTTGCCATCTTTAGACACTGCTATGGTCCAAATATCTGTGTCCCCTGAAAATTCATATGTTGAGACCCTAATCCCCAATGTGATGGTATTAGGAGATGGGGCCTTTGGGAGGTGCTTAGGTCATGAGGGTGGAGCCTCATGAATGGGATTAATGCCTTATAAAATGAGGCCCATAAAATTCCTTAGCCCCTTCTGCCACGTGAGGATACGATGAGAAGTCTGCAACCTGGATGAGGGCTCTCACCAACCACGCTGGCACCCTGATCTCCTTGGGCGTGAACCTGAAGAAATTTATTTCTTACAGTCTCCAGAACTGTGAGAAATTTCTGTTGTTTATAAACTACGCAATCTATGGTATGTTGTTATAGCAGTCTGAACTGACAAGGACAGATACAATCTTTATTCACCATCGTGCCCAGATATGTCTCCATTCCCCTCTTCCTTGTAACTCAGCCTCATCTTAGTACCTGACTGTTGTCCCTGAGTCCTTGGGGATCACAGCCATCCTCACACTGGATATGGGGGACATCACTTGTAGTCTCGTCATCTCCCTCTTCTCTTGGTAGATCCTGGAGTGGAGGAGGAGTTGGGAAGAGTGAAGAAATAAAATAAGTACTTTCAAACCCACCTGGATCCTCAGGCCTATGACTTTCCCAGGAACCCCAACCCTCTAGCTTCCACCCAAGGCCACAGAGTCTTCCACTGCAGCCTTGGAGAGCTTGGAGAGGCTCCTGTTTGGTCCCACAGGCTGTCACTCACCACAGGTCCCATTGGTGGATGTGCACTCCAGGCCAGTGTGCAGAGCTTCTGTGAGAGCTGCTGGCCCCGAGCCCAGGCAGGGCTGCTGCTCTCAGGCACAGCCCGGCCCTGAGCAATCCAGGGCACCAGCAGCAGCAGCAGCAGCACAGCTCTGCTCCCCAGCATCTTGGTGCCTGCTTTTCAGATCTGGCTGGCTCTGTGCCTTGCACCAGTCCCTGTGGAATCTCTGCCCACTTCCCCTTGCTCTGAGCTTGATGGTCTCTGTTCTGTGTGTCTCTGGTTTGGTTCCCGCTGTTCTGTTCGCTGAGGTTCTGAGCTGCTTCCCTTGTTTTTCTACCCTTGTCTCTGAGGCTCTTTTTAAGGTCCCTGCATTGTAACACCCGCCCTTTATACTAGCAGGTGACTCACAGCAGGTGGGATTCCCCTCCCTGCATCATCCCCCTCCGTGGGGAGCCCAGGTATGTATGCAGCCTCAGTTCCAGGGGAAATGACTCGTGTGGTTGCTGTGGCTGGAGGCCTGGGATGGGACATATGTGTAATGCTCTCCAGGAATCGAAATGGCTATAGTTGGAGGTGGGGGAGCGAATAACAAATATTTAAATGAATCTAGTCTCAAGTTCCTTCCTGTTTAATCTTTTCCTCATCTTTTGCCTCTCCAAGCTATAACACCCCCACCACCACCCCGAAACCTAATTTCCTCACCTCTTCCTGCCTGAGGAAAAACCAAAACAGAAACATTCATTTATCTCCCAATAAAATGGCAAGTTCAGTTTGGAATGAAGTTTGGTCCCCACCAGATGCCTTCTATCTAAAAATAAGGGGGATTCTTTTTCAACCTTGCAAACTATTATTTTCACTGGGAGAGAACGAACATGAAGGCATTTTGAGAACTGAGCAGCTATGTAAGTGCCATACAGAGTATTACTGTTCCCCCACTTCAGGCCTCACTACGGAGACTAGGAGGGCTGTCAGAGGAGGGAGTTGTTGCTAAGACCCATCTGATTCTTCAACCTTAGTGGCTCAGTTTCATGGGCTCTGTGGGATGCAGGTGATGTGTTTTTGGAACACCAGTGTAAGCAAGGGCCAGAAGTCCAATTTAGATATTCCAGCTCCTACACTATGGCTAAGAAGTCCAGGAGTTCTGGGTAGTTGAAGGTGCTCAGTGTCAATGACCCTGGCCAGTCCTTCAGCCTGTTGCATCCATGGGTAAAATCCACTGACACTGATTTCATCACCCTCCCTGATGCAACATCCAGTGAAACAGCTGAGAGTGTGAGGTTAGGCGTGGGAGTGGAGGGTGGTCCAAATCTGGGACTGCCCCAACCCCAGTGGAGGGTCCCAGGACAATTTGGACGTCAGAATGAGGCCGTGGGTGACCACACAGATGGCTCCCAAAGCCTCCCCAAGAGGTTGACCCTTTTCCTCTGAGAAACCCTCTACAGCAGTCTCCCTTCCCTTAGAACTATTCAAAACAGCCCAGTGAAACTTCTGATTCAAATATGACTCTCTGGTAAATCCACCCTTTGGATAGAACATTTCCAGCATCAGGGAGGTTATCTCAGTATTTTTTTAAAAAGATTTTATTGGGGAAATGGGGGAGGGGAACAGCGCTGGGGAATCAGGGGAAGGGGAATAGACAAGTTGCTGTCCTTTTGTTCTTCAGTCTAGTTGTGGAGAACGTCCCTTCACTGGCCCATGTTGGTATTATCATTGCGCTCTTCCTGGATGAGGCAGATCAGTCGCAGGCCTCTGGACGGCCGCTCACGGCAGCTCTTGGCAGCTCACACCGGCTGCCAGCCGCTCACGCTGGCTGCCAGCCACACACGGTAGCTGATGGCAGCCCACTGCAGCAGGGACTGCAGCCTAGGCCGTCCCCGGCGCCTCACAGCAGCCAGCTCCAGGTCAAGCTGTTGTTCACCATCTTAGCTGTAGAGGTCCCCCATGTGGGATCCGAACCAGGGCCCTGCTGCTCAGAGCTGGTGTCCCAAGCCAGCTCTTAACCAACGCACCACTCAGCTGGCCCAAGGTTATCTCAGTTTTGAGTGAGAAATGGTTTGCCTCTCCCCACATATGGTGGATGCACATAGAATAAGGAAATTGGTGGTGGTAGTGGAATTAGGAGAGAGCTCACTTCACTTTTGTATAATGTGTCCTATGTTTTCCCCACCTCTGGTCCCCATTCTGGGAGCCTTTAAGGATAGGAGGTGAAAGGTGAAAAGGAGGAGGAAGTGGAGCCCCGGGAAATGGGATAAGAAGGACAAGGGTGAGCTGGAGGCATGGGGCTCTGCTGCTTTGTTTCACTTCCTGGTACTTGGGGAGTTGAGTAGGAAGCAAGGTTGGTGAGGTAATTGTGGGACTGTTGTGTGGCAGGAACCACTTCCAGGACTAGATCTGACCTGGAGCTGCAGGGAGTCCTTGACATCAGCAGGGCTTCAACCGTTATGCAAATCACATTCACAAGACACTCCTAAGCAGACCTTTCCAGTTGGATGCCCGGTGTCAAAATCCAGTTGAAGTTGCCCCAGGTGGTTAATAATGATGGCTAATAGATATCCGACTCTCACTTTATGCCAAGTACTTGATCTAAGCCCTTTTCATGTATTAACCCATTTAATTCTCACAACTACGCAAAGAGGTAGGCACTATTATTATCCCCCTATAACAGATGAGGAAAACAGAGGCAAAGAAATAAGTTACTTGTCCAAAATCACAGGGCTACTAAGTGCTTCAGATCCTACATTCTCAAGCGTTCCATTATTTTAGACACTGTGAGAAGACAGAGCATCCTTATAAAGTACATCATTTAGGGGTGACCCGTTAGCTCAATTGGTTAGAGCATGGTGGTAACGGCATCAAGGTTGCCAGTTTAATCCCCACATAGGCCACTTGTATGCCATTGTAGCATGAAAGTACTGTGTAATCAATGACCATGGCTGCTTCCCAATAAAAATTTTTTTTTAATCCTTAATTAAAAAATAAATAAAGTAGCTCATTTAGCCCAGATATCTCTGGGTAGCTCAAGCCCTGTAATTCTCATGGGTCTATGAAGTTGTTCTCAATTTGAGACCTCAATATGGTAATTTTTCAAAGTGTAGGAACTGTCTAGGTCTTTCAGCACCCATCTTTTTGTGAGATTTTAAATCTAGGGATCTGTGAAGTTAGATTAATTTGAGAGGCCCTGTGAGTTGTCTTTTTCTCTGTCTATGACCTCTGACTAAGTCTAGCACCATGCCGAGTCCTGGAAGTCTAAATATCGGGGTCCTTTTATGAAGGTTTATGTACCAGCCTTTAAGGGGAAAAAATGTTTTAAAGCTGTATCCTTCCAACAAAGAGGCCCTTTATGCGGCCGTTAGAAACTGAGCTATAGTGCCTCAGAGACATCTCATAACCTGGATCCATTCCAAACCAGTTGAAGCTCAGAGTTAGGCCCCCAAAACCCCTCAGAATAACTGTTGACACTAAATTTATAAGTTTTGGGAGGGCAAATGTCTCAATTTGCGGTGCTCTTGCCCTGCTGAGGGATAATGTCCAGCTCCAAGAGCTAGGCGAATTTTATATTTGAGGGGTCCTGTGCCCTGGGAATATCACCGGGGCCTCTGGGAAGGTCACAATCACCGATATGAGTTTCAGATGGATGCCTTTAGCATCGTAGAAGATGCAGCTACTTAAATCATGTTAGGAGCCTAGCTCCTGCTTCCCTTTTTCTCTCCCAGATCTGGAAATGCCAGCGAGTTTCGGGGGCAATCGAGTCAGAGGTAGCGGAGTAGCTCACAAGAGCGCCGTGAAGAGAGGGGGTGGACTAGACCATGCTGGGAATACCCAGCAGTCGATTCCCAGCGCTTTGCCTTGGGCGTCTCTTATTGCAGTTTCTAAAATATAGGGAGCATGAAAGTTCGGTTTCCAAACTGGCGTTCTCTAATTTGGTTCAGAAAAGGCTTAAAAGACAATACGTTACTTTTCAGCAACAACATATAGGACCAGGACGTGACTACGCTTGTCCCCATCGGCGCGCCGTAACCCTTGTTATTGCCCCGTCCTGCGTAATACATCTTCTCGCGAAGCCGTCTGTGTTTGGCTCCATCTGATTGGCTTAGGCGAGCCCCAAACCCTTCCTGATTGGAAGCTGCGACTGGTAGCCCGCCTCCTTTCCAGCGTAGGGTTAGGTTGAGCTTGAGGCGCGGGGGAGAATTGGGGAAACTGGAATTTCCCACGGAGCTGACGGCATTTGCTCTCCCCCTACTCGTTTTAATTCCACGCGCTCCAAAATATCCGCCATGGAGAAATCTTGGTAATGACCCAATCCCCGTAAGCATCCCAGGAACACATCTGACCCCTGCCCTAATCCCTCCCCTCCGCGCCGCCGGGGGAGAATTCTGGGTAGTTGATTTCGGCTTCCCCCCCAGGGAATTCTGGGTAACTAGCCCTTTCCATCAAGTACCCCTACCCCCGCCTCAATTGTGGGTAACTGGCCATTCTTATTTTCCTCTAGAGAATCCTGGGTAACTATAGAGGATTCTGGGACACTGACTTCTCTTGTTCTCACCTCCCAACCCCCCAACCCCATCCCTAATTCTGGGAAACAAGTACTTTAGTCCCCTCTCTCTAACTCCTACCCCTGCAATTGTTGCTCTTTCCACTGATGGTTCAGGGGTGAACCAGGCAAGTGAGCAGGACTGAAGGGAAGTGAAAGGGAATGCAAGGATTAGATTAGACAGTAGGGTGGTGGGGAGTAAAGAGGACCTAGAGGAGAAGAGGAAGGGAAAGACAACATGTCTCCCACCTCTGCCCCGCTGCCCATCCCCTTCATTTCTGCTTCATCCACTACCTGGCTTATCGTCTTCCTGCCCATATAACCTATAACACACTAAATACAAGTACCTGGGCCTACCCCTGACTCAGCTACCTCTTTCCCTTTGCAGGCCAGGATGCCCACTGATGCTGTCCTACTGAAGGTTGGGTCAGTCATCTAAAGGGGCTGTGGCAAGGTAGGGTGTGACACAAGTCTGATCTGCTGCCATCATCATCATGAACTTCGAGGGTCTGGACCCTGGACTGGCAGAGTACGCCCCTGCCATGCATTCTGCCCTGGACCCTGTCCTGGATGCGCACCTGAACCCAAGTCTGCTACAGAATGTGGAGCTGGACCCAGAGGGAGTGGCCTTGGAGGCTCTTCCTGTCCAGGAGTCAGTGCACATAATGGAAGGTGTCTACTCTGAATTGCACAGTGTGGTGGCTGAAGTGGGTGTGCCTGTCTCCGTCTCCCACTTTGACTTGCACGAGGAGATGCTGTGGGTGGGAAGCCATGGGGTAAGAACCGTACCCCTTTGTAAGGGCTGAGAGGAGATGATGGATGTGTTTTATCTGGTTTTAACTCAATGGCATGCTTTGCAGACAGCCAGAGCTGAGTTGTGATGAGAGTTAGCTGGGTCTCTAAGTGAAGCCAAGAGGAAGGGAGTGGAGAGAGAAAGAGGGAGTCGTGGGACCCAGGGATGAGTTACTTAGGTATTGTTTTTCAGAAGGCATTACACTTCTACCACAATTTGCCCATTCCATGCTTTGATTAATCTTTTTTTTTTTTTTTAAGATTTTATTGGGGAATTGGGGAAGGAGAACAGACAAGTTGCCATCTTTTTGTTCTTCAGTCTAGTTGTGGAGGATGTCGCTTCACAGGCCCGTGTTGGTATTATCGTTGCGCCCTTCCCGGGTGAGGCAGTCGCTCACTGGCCATTGGACGGCGGCTCACGCTGGCTGCCAGCTGCTCACGCTGGCTGCCAGCAATTCACGGTAGCTCATGGCAGCCCACTGCAGCCTACACTGTCGTCAGAGACTCAGGGAAGCCCGCTGCAGCAGGGGCTGCAGCCTACGCTGTCGCTGGTGACTCACGGCAGCCCAGCTCCAGGTCAACCTGTTGTTCACCATCTTAGCTGTAGAAGGCGCAGCGTCACTGGCCCTCACGTGGGATCTGAACCAGGGCCCTGCTGCTCAGAGCTGGCATCCCAAGCCAACTCTTAACCAACGCGCCACTCAGCTGGCCCGCTTTGATTAATCTTGATAACTGTACCAATTAATTAGTCTATAGCCATCTAAATCCAATCTCTAATACCTCCTCTGTTTTTCATTTTTATAATTATAGAATATTTAACGCATGTTTCTGTGTATCTTACATGGAATCATTCTGTCTTCTCTGTCTGATTTTAATCACCCTAAGCACAGTATCAATGTTGATTTTTTAAAATGTGTATCCATACTGCCAATACACTAGGGAGCCCAAAGATTTTGTAAGAAATAACATGCTAGCTTTGGTTTACTGATTTACCTTCCATAGGGTGTGAATTGTTTTTCCATTAGAAAGAATTAATATTTTGGTAATACATTCATTTCAGTGGGCGGTATCTACTGCTATGCCAGGCCCAGGGAAGAAAGCTGAATAAAACATAATCCTTGCCCTCAAGGAGTTTACAGGACAATGAGGAAAAGACATAGAAACAGATAATTCATGGTACTTTAAAAGAAAATAAGTTGCTTGACTTAATAGTTACGAATTTAGAATGTAATCTAAATGCCAATGTAAAAATACAATATGTACTGGTGCTGGTGAGCATAATGGAGTCAGAGGACCTCCAGAAGAAAGTGACGCTGAACTGAGTCTTGAAACATGAGTAGACATTAGGTGAAGAAGAGGAAAATGTTTTCTTGGCAAAAGCAATGAGATAAAGATTCCCAATGTATTACACAGCATAGTGTTTGCAGAGTGCAGGAACTACAAATAATTAAGGTTTACTAGACTGGAAGATGAAGCTAAATAATTAGACATGTCTTCATTCAACCAGTGTTTTTTGAGCACCTACTAGGTGACAGACCTTATTCTACGGTCTAGGTTTAGAATAAGCATTTTAAAAGGCAACAAAAATACATTTATAATATATTCGGTATTGCTTAGTATCCTTAAGAAAAACAAAGTGGAGTAAGGGTGTTGAGGTAATGAAGGGTGGGAGGTGTTGCTATTTTCGGTAGTTTGTCAGGGAGAGTCTCTCTGATAAAGTCACATATGAGTAGAGAGCTGGGTGCCGACCAGGATGATCATTCTAATCCATCTAGAAGGGTGGGAGGGAGCCATGCAGATAGCTGGGGGAAGAACATTCTAGAAAACCCCATATGCTCTGTTAAAAGAACTTACATTTGATCCTTCAGGCTACCAGACATTTTTATCCAGAATAATGAGGTCTGGTTTGCATCTTAGGTAGAGTACTGAGGTAGCAGTACAGAGCTTGATTTAAGGGGGACAAGGTAGAACTCTTAATATCAGTGTGCAGGCTGTTGTAGTAGTTCACATCACATATGATGAAGGCCTGAATGAAGCACTGTAGATATGTATATGTGAGAACAGATTTGGAAAATATTTAGGAAGTAAAATAAATAAGATTTAAGTTGACTACCAGTGACTTGGTCCACTGGGTAGATCATGGTACCATAGGGAATGCAGTTAAGAATTGAAATGGGGGCCGGCCGAGTGGCGTGTTGGTTAAGAGCTGGCTTGGGATACCAGCTCTGAGCAGCAGGGCCCCGGTTCGGATCCCACATGAGGGCCAGTGACACTGCCCTCTACAGCTAAGATGGTGAACAACATCTTGACCTGGAGCTGGGCTGCCATAAGTCGCCGGTGACGGCGTGAGCAGCTGGCAGCCAGCGTGAGCTGCCAAGAGCTGCGGTGAGCGGCAGTCCAGAGATCGGTGACCGATCTGCCTCCTTTGGGAAGAGCGCAATGATAATACCAACAAGGGCCAGTGAAGCGACGTCCTCCACAACTAGACAGAAGAACAAAAGGACAGCAACTTGTCTGTTCCCCTTCCCCAATTCTCCAACGCTGTTTCCCTTCCCCAATTCCCCAATAAAATCTTTAAAAAACAAAAAAAGAATTGAAATGGGGTAAAAATGGTAAATTGAATTTAGGATGTAGTGAGTTTGAAGTTCTCATGGGATATCTAGAGAGAGATGTTTAGCAGGTATTTGGATGTATAAGTCTGAAGCTTGAGGCAGTGGTCTGGGCTAGGGAAGGAAATGAGGATTCATCAGCTTTAAAATGGATGGTTAAAACCGTGACAGTTGGGTGAGATTACCTAGGAAAAAGAGTGAGAAAATAGTGGGCTGGGAATAGCCATGTTTCAAGAGTGGTCAGAAAGGGAGCACATAAAGAGAGGGTATGAGCTAAGAGAGAGCCAGGAGTGAATGACATCAGAGGAGCCAATGGTGGAATGAGTTTCACAGTCTCTCTATTTCAGCCTGTCACCCCACAGTGCACGTTGCTGGTAGAGATTAAGACTTGACAGTGGAATATGAGAGAGCCAGATGGCTAGTGGAGGATGGGACCCACCTCCCTGACCTTCTGAACACTGTTCTAACCAACTGATCCATTACCTATTCAGCAGGGTCATTGTGAGGATAAAATAAGGTAGAGTTTACAAAAGTACTTTGTAAAGCATTTAACAAACAAAATGGTATTATCAGTGTGTTTCTCACTAAGAGTGGTGCCTAGCCTTATGCCTTAGTCACTGCTAGCCAGAAAGGCCAGGAAGCAAGAATGGAAAAATGCTGAGCAATGTTTAGTCCCTAACTTGTATCTGGGATGGCCCTACCCCTCCACTCTGGGTGTCTCTCATATTTTTGTCCCCTACAGGGTCACGCCACTTCATTTTTCGGTCCAGCGTTGGAGCGCTATTCATCCTTTCAGGTCAATGGCAGCGATGACATTCGGCAGATTCAGAGCCTGGAGAATGGTATCCTTTTTCTCACCAAGAACAACCTCAAGTATATGGCCCGTGGTGGCCTCATTATATTTGATTACCTGTAAGTGGCTTCTCAGCTCTGGACTGGGAAGGAGGGTCCCTCATAGAGTGGGAAGGCTAAAGGATTGGAAACTTTCGAGACCTTGGTGCCTTAGCCTTTCCTCTCCCTGACAGGCTGGATGAGAGTGATGATATGCACAGTCTCCTGCTGACTGACAGCAGCACACTGCTGGTTGGTGGGCTGCAGAACCACATATTGGAGATTGATCTTAACACTGTCCAGGAGACTCAGAAGGTACAAGCCTGGGGCAGGAAAGACCCAAGCAGGGTCTGTGGTTATTGTAGCAGGGGCAGTGGGTAATACTTGGGCTGGGAACATGCCTAAGATGTGTGTGCAACCTTTCTGTTCATTTGGTTTGTGGGAAGAATCATTCTTTCTGGTTTCTCCTGCTTTCCTCCACAGTATGCAGTTGAGACACCTGGAGTCACCATCATGAGACAGACAAACCGCTTCTTCTTCTGCGGCCACACATCTGGCAAGGTGGCTAAGTTCTATCTTCCCTCCCACCATTGGGTCCTGTTTCACCAGCTATGTGACTGGGTTCAGCCTTTCCCTCAATTCTGGGGCTGTAATTGGAGAGAAAGGAGGAGTGAATTGAGTTCCTACCCAGCCATGTTACACTATGAGAATATCTTTCAGCCTGATGTTTTCTGTTGTAACTAGGTACCTTAGGGGCACTAGGGCAAACAAGAGTTCTCTTTGGGGTCCCTTCCAGTTCTTGGCTTCTCTTTTTGCCTTTTCTGCGCTTTAATTGCCCACATCCTAGAGTTGTAGTTCTTTTTGTAGGGGCCTCACAGAATTAGGTAGGTGGCAGGTACTCAACCCTGATAACAGCTTTGGTAGATAACCAAGTTATCTCTTCTTCAGGTTTCCTTGCGAGACCTTCGTACTTTTAAGGTGGAGCATGAGTTTGATGCTTTCTCAGGGAGCCTGTCGGACTTTGATGTGCATGGCAACCTGCTGGCTGCCTGTGGCTTCTCCAGCCGTCTCACCGGCCTCGCCTGTGACCGTTTCCTCAAGGTGTATGATCTGCGCATGATGCGTGCCATCACCCCACTTCAAGTACATGTGGACCCTGCCTTCTTGCGCTTCATCCCTACATATACTTCTCGTCTTGCTATCATCTCCCAGTCAGGTATGAAGGGCATGTAAGATGGTATAAGAAGGGTCAATGAGCAAAGGGCAGGTAGGCACCAGAAGGATTTTACTCCCAGGAACCTCTTTGTTGGAGGAAAAAGGTAACCTTCCAGCGAGGTCTCTGGGTCTCACTAGGTTTGGTCAGAGATTAAAGCTTTTATTTTTTCCCTGGGTGTGAAAAACACAGAAAAAGATAAAAATGGAGCAGGCAAAACAACTTTAGAACTGCCCTTTGCTGTATAGCAGACCTCCCTGTGGCTTATGGGAAGGCATCAGATGGTATTCTCTCTATCTCTAGGCATGGATTTGGGGCCCATCTTTCTTTGATATACCAGGGGAAGAGGGTAGGAAGGGCATAAAAGGATGGCTTCCTTTCACCTTCCAGGGCTTGCTCAGTGGGCTTCCTCCTCCTTCCTAGGGCAATGCCAGTTTTGTGAGCCCACAGGCCTGGCCAACCCAGCAGACATCTTCCATGTGAACCCTGTGGGGCCTCTGCTCATGACGTTTGATGTGTCAGCCAGCAAGCAGGCCCTGGCCTTTGGGGATTCTGAGGGCTGTGTGCACCTCTGGACAGATTCCCCTGAGCCTTCCTTCAACCCCTACTCCCGGGAGACCGAGTTTGCTTTGCCCTGTCTTGTGGACTCACTGCCGCCTCTGGACTGGAGCCAGGACCTGCTGCCTCTTTCCCTCATCCCTGTCCCACTCACCACTGACACACTTCTGTCTGATTGGCCTGCTGCCAACTCCGCTCCAGCTCCCAGGTTGTACCTCATATTTGGGCCAAACAGGGGGAGCGGGAAAGGGCTGAGATACCAGGATTCTCTGTAAGCCCTGTTATTATTCTGCTTCTTTCTTGATTTTTTGTCTGCCTTCAGTATTTTCTTTTTTTCTGGCCCCCTGGGGACTGGGGATTGGATGGGCAGACACCACAACCTTCAAGCCCTAGAACTATACTGCCTTACAGGAGAGCACCCCCTGTGGATGCAGAGATTCTGCGCACCATGAAGAAGGTGGGCTTCATCGGCTATGCACCTAACCCCCGCACCAGGCTGCGGAATCAGGTATGTTCAGGGGGGAGAAGGTCATACCCACCACCAGCCCACTGGTGTTTCTCCTGTCTTTTTCCTTTACTAGTTTTGTTTTTAGTCAGTAAAGGTTTTATTGAAGCCTACTAAATTGAAGGCACTATGCTAGGTGTTAGAATTCAGAGACATAGAAGATAGGGTCCTTGCTCTTAAGGAGTATTTGGTTGGTGAAGATAAGACCTATCCATAACAGAAATTATTTATGTTCTGTTGTTAAATGCTGGAGGAATGTTATAAGCATGTATTGCTAGAGCTGTTTGGGCTAGAGTGGTCAGGGAAGGCGTTCTGAAAGAGGTGGATATGGAGCTGGAGAGGTAAGAAATGGGTAAGTAGATAGTAACAGCAGAGCATAGTCAAGGTGAGAGACCAGTGTTAGTAAAGGTCTCAAGAGGCATAACTGCAAAAGGGGTACCTGCTGGGGACTATGACTATACCAGTCTGGCTGGCGTGGCTATTAGTATTGGGAAATAGCAAGAGAATAAGGTTGGAAAGAGCCTGGTTATGAAGCCTTGCAATCCAGTGTATAGTGGAAGAAGTGATGCACTGAAGGGGATATTGTGGGAGGGTTAGTTCGGTTAGCAGTATGCTGGATAGAGTGAATGTGGGGAGCCCAGCGTGGAAGCCATCATAGTTGTCCAGCTGTGATGAGGTCGGGTGATGGTATTGGGAATAAAAAAGAAGCAGTGAATGTTGAAAACCCTATGAAATTAGAAGGTTGAGGACTTGGTGACTGTTTCAGTGTTGGGATAAAGGTGGGGAAAACCAAAGATGTCTTAATTAAGACATCCCACAAGGTAACCTCTTTTTAAAAATTGTAGATTCCTTACCGACTCAAGGAGTCAGACAATGAATTTGACAACTTCAGCCAGGTCACTGAGTCACCAATAGGGCGAGAAGAGGAGCCACATCTCCACATGGTCTCTAAGAAATACCGCAAGGTGCTAGGGGATACCAAGGAAGGAGCCCTCTGGGATGTGGGGGAAGAGCCCAGGGAAAGGGGTTATATGAGAAAAGATTGAAGGACTCAGTCAAGAAGCCTTCACCTACCACCCTGGACTCAGAAGGGAGGTTTGGGGGAAGGTTATGGCTACTGTGAAGATTAGGGGACTCCGAGGATATCTTCATCTTGCTCAGACTGTTTCTGCCTCAGGTGACCATCAAATACTCCAAGCTAGGGCTGGAGGACTTTGACTTCAAACACTACAATAAGACCCTGTTTGCTGGATTAGAGCCCCACATCCCCAATGCCTACTGTAACTGCATGATCCAGGTAAGGGTGGGTATGCCAGTGACTTGAACCTGCCTGCTGCACTTCTTCTTTGTGGCCCCACAACCCCTCCTCTTTTTCCACTTTATCATGGGCCCCTTTACCATTCTTTCTTGCCCCATAGCTTTCAAGTCTCCTCTGTGAGCGCCACTTCTTCAGTGGACTCCACCAGCTCGTTTAACCTTCCCATCTCTCTCCCTCCCCATAGCAGTTGCCTGCGTCAGTTCTCCTGCTCTTCCCTCCAGGTGCTCTATTTCCTGGAGCCTGTTCGCTGCCTAATCCAGAACCACCTTTGCCAGAAGGAGTTCTGCCTGGCATGTGAGCTGGGCTTCCTCTTCCACATGTTGGACCTCTCCCGAGGTGATCCTTGTCAGGTCGGTGCCTGGAAACCTGGGACGATAAAAGGGGAAGGGAAATGGATAATAGGCAAGGACCTCACGGAACAAACAGCCGCAGAAGAGAAAAGAACCCCTTTCCACCAACACACTTTCTGGATTCCAGGGCAGTAATTTTCTTCGGGCGTTCCGCACCATCCCTGAAGCCTCAGCCCTTGGTCTGATCCTGGCTGACTCGGATGAAGCTTCAGGCAAGGGCAACCTGGCCAGGCTCATTCAGAGGTGGAATCGCTTCATTCTCACTCAGCTGCATCAGGATATGCAGGAGCTGGAAGTACCCCAGGCTTATCGAGGTGCTGGAGGCAGGTATGGAATCAGGACAGGAATAAAGCCACCATAACAGGCCCCTCTGTGACTTACAGTGTCTCCTAACTCCCTCAGTGCGCTATATCTCCCTCCCCACTCTTAGCAGCTTTTGCTCATCGGGGGACTCTGTCATTGGGCAGCTGTTCAGCTGTGAGATGGAGAACTGCAGCCTCTGCCGCTGTGGCAGTGAGACCGTGCGAGCCTCATCCACCCTTCTGTTCACGCTCTCCTACCCTGAGGGTAGCAACAGTGGTATACCCTGCAGCTGGGTTGGGAAGGCTCCCCCAACGTCCTGTAACATCAAGGAGAGGGTGGAGGGGGGTCAAGCGCTAACAGTGGGTAGAAGGGAGAACCTGGAGTGAAGTATCCAGTTTACCCACAGATAAAACCGGGAAGAACTGTGACTTTGCTCAGGTGCTAAAGCGAAGCATCTGCCTGGAGCAGAATACACAGGCCTGGTGTGACAACTGTGAAAAGTACCAGCCCACGGTGAGTGGGCTGCTGCACTGCACATGTTGGGGACTCCGCCATGGTTCTCATCGGGGGCTGGCTAGGTTAGCACCGCCACCCAGGGACCTATAGGGAGTGGGAAGAACCCCAGTTTGAGGATGCAGGTCCAGGTTTTACTGTTCCTGTGCAGGTGTCTTTTCTTGTAGGCTCCCTGCCAATTCCTTGTTTTATCCTCTCAGATTCAGACCCGCAACATCTGCCATCTGCCAGATATTCTTGTCATCAATTGTGAAGTGAACAGCTTGAAAGAAGCTGATTTCTGGAGAATGCAGGCTGAAGTAAGGACCTGGGCTGGAAACGGCCTTAGGAGTACTTTTTAGTTTTCTCCCTCCTCTGACCTCCATATATGATTAATGTTCCTGAGGAATCATGTATTTTCTCCTTCGTGTTCAGGTTGCCTTCAAGATGGCAATGAAGAAACATGGTGGGGAAATCTCCAAGAGCAAGGAGTTTGCTTTGGCTGATTGGTAGGTACTGTCTTAGGAGTTGAACTACCCAGTGGCTTCTCTCATCATTGGCTAGATATCCTCAGAACAAATTTCTGATTCTCCTGTCCTGATAGGAAGGAACTTGGGAGTCCCGAGGGCATGCTGATGTGTCCTTCCATTGAGGAGTTGAAGAATGTCTGGCTTCCTTTCTCCATTCGCATGAAGATGACCAAGAACAAAGGACTGGATGTTTGCAATTGGACTGATGGGGATGAGATGCAGGTTGTTGGAAAACTGGGAAGAGGAGGGGGAATAAGGGAGAGGAAAATGGGGTAGAAGCAGGACGGGGGGAAGGTGGAACAGTATAGGGAAAAGAAAGGGAGTCAGGCTGAGTATTTGCCAGTCGTAGGCTTTTCCAGAGTGACTCAGTTCATTGTTGGGAGTCACAGATGGGCTAGAATGGAGATAACCCACCCTGGTCCCCCATCACATACCCCGAACTCCCTGTCCTCTATCCCCATTCCCCTTCCTTCCCCATCCTGAAACTTAGCTTAGCAGCCTGGGTACCCCCTCACAGTGGGGCCCAGCCAGGGCAGAGGAGGAGCATGGTGTCTATGTGTATGACCTGATGGCTACTGTGGTACACATCCTGGACTCACGCACAGGGGGCAGCCTGGTGGCTCACATCAAAGTTGGAGAGACCTACCACCAACGCAAAGAGGTGAGTGAGGTAGTACAGGGCAGGGGCACTCCTGGTGGTGGCCACAGTGGAATCCCAGATCTGTCCTTACCTTCAGTCTGAGCCAGAGTGGTTCCAGCCATCACTTTGGCATCAGCCTTTCTCTGTATCTCCATAGGGCGTTACCCACCAGCAGTGGTATCTCTTCAATGACTTTCTTATTGAACCTATTGATAAGGTTAGTTATAACACATTGCATTCCCCCTTTCATCTTCCTTTTTCCTAGCATCCTTATCCTCAGTGCCCTTAAGAATGCCAGGCAGATTCAGGAGGGAGGAGAGATGGGTTTTCAAGAATAAAAACAGCACCTAGTCCTGTCTTTTGTCTGACTTGGGAAAAAGGAAAAGGGGGCCATTAAGTGCTTTTTCTTTTATAGCATGAAGCTGTGCAGTTTGACATGAATTGGAAAGTGCCTGCTATCCTTTATTACATCAAAAGGAATCTTAACTCCAAATACAACCTGAACAGTAAGTGGAACAGTTAAGTGTGGGCAGTTTAGATTGGTCTTCAGGAAGAGACCTGGGAAATAACTTGTTGAGATTAGCATCTGTAACCAGTGTTAATGGTTCCAGGATATTACAGAGATTCCTGCTCATAAGGCCTTAAATTTAGAATCTGGAGATCCAGAGGGTATAGTGGGAAAGAGGTTATGGGGGAAAAGTCTGATCAGAATGGCTAAAGTTATGATTTTGAGTCTAATCATTCTTATCCCCAAGTGAAGATCTCTTTTGGAGATTAACTTCTTAAGTCCCTTTTTGGTGCCTTTAAACCATAGTTTCTCTGTAACTTCCATTTTCTAGGGTTTCTTAGATAAGTCCAAAGTAAAAATCTTATTCTTTCCTTTTGTTGACTTTTTTTCTTACTATATTTCTTGATAATTTCCTGATTTCACCTGTTTCATCTACCTGCTCTGTACATCAAACATGATCTTTTTATTCACATGCTTTGATTATTGAGGGATCACAGTGTAGACCTGGTCTCTGGTCAGCCACCCTGGGCTTCCCTCCCCTGGTCACTTCCCTGTCCCCAGCCATCTGTCTTCTGGATTCTCCCTTCTAGTCAAGAACCCTATTGAGGCAAGTGTCCTGCTGGCTGAAGCCTCATTGGCACGGAAGCAGCGGAAAACACATACTACCTTTATTCCGCTCATGCTGAATGAGATGCCACAGGTTGGGGACCTGGTGGGCCTGGATGCTGAATTTGTCACCCTTAATGAGGTAACCAAGACCAAAAGTGGATGTTGGGGCAGAATTCTGGGGATATTAGGAGTCATAAACATTTCTTTGATTTCCTTATTAACTCTTCTCATGTAGGAGGAAGCAGAGTTGCGCAGTGATGGCACCAAGTCTACCATCAAACCAAGCCAGATGTCAGTAGCAAGGATTACCTGTGTTCGGGGCCAGGGACCCAATGAGGGTATTCCATTCATTGATGACTACATCTCCACCCAGGAGCAGGTATTAGGATAGGAAGGTGCAAGTGAGACAGATCCTGTGCTTAAGTAAAGTGCCCTAGAACCCAGGGAAGAGTGGTATGGGGTGACTGCACCTTGCTTCCTTGGAGACTTGTTTTCTCTATCCCTAGGTGGTGGATTACTTGACTCAATACTCAGGGATAAAGCCAGGAGACCTTGATGCCAAGATTTCCTCTAAGCACCTCACAACTCTCAAGTCTACCTACTTAAAGCTTCGTTTTCTCATAGACATTGGAGTCAAGTTTGTGGGTCATGGTCTGCAGAAGGACTTCCGGGTCATCAACCTCATGGTTTGGGCAGGGCTCATTTAAGAGTCTTTTTTGAGTATGGGCCCCTCAGGGTATACATTATGCTTTTGGAGAATGGGAAATTATGGGTCTCCTGCCTTCAGCCTCCCATTCTTTTATCCCTGTCCAGGTGCCCAAGGACCAAGTCCTTGACACTGTCTATCTGTTTCACATGCCCCGAAAACGAATGATTTCCCTGCGATTCCTTGCTTGGTACTTTCTGGGTGAGTTGCTCTGTTTTGAAGGCCCTTGTACTCATTAAGAGCAGGTAAAAGTGTTAGAGGGGCCAAGGGGAGTAGGGAGGACCCTGAGTTAGTTGTGAGAGTTAGTAATGGATTTAATTAGCTTCAGTATCCCTTCTGTGCATCAGGAATGGTGTTTGGCTGTTTCCTTAAGGGCAGTCAGGTTTTTTATTGTTGTTTATCCGGGGCTGGGGATGTGAGCAGGGGACATATTTTACCTTCCTTTGCTAGGTCCCCAACTATTCCACCTCTACTTCCCCCAGACCTGAAAATTCAAGGGGAGACCCATGACAGTATTGAGGATGCCCGCACAGCCCTTCAGCTCTACCGAAAGTATCTGGAGCTAAGCAAAAATGGCACTGAACCTGAGTCCTTCCACAAAGTGCTCAAGGGTCTTTACGAGAAGGGCCGAAAGATGGACTGGAAGGTGCCTGAGCCTGAAGGCCAGACAAGTCCCAAGAGTAAGGATTGGGATGGGACAAGGGAAACTGGACTGGGTGGGTTTTGATTGTATATGTGAAGATTATATCCACCATAATGATGATGATGATAACAGTACCACCCCTACCTTGCATTTGTAAAGCACACAACAGTTTACAGAGCACTTAATCCTTCCAATAGTCAGTGAAATAGATTTTGTTATGAAATTCTCTACCAGTCCTAACCCCCTCTTTCCCAATTCTAAAATGTTTGGGGCAGGTCCATGCTGTCTTTAATCTTGCATTTTTCCTTCGTAAGAAGTATCCTAGGTCCTTTTTCTCCACTCATCTTACGAGTCAATACTTGATTTTGTCTCTGACAGATGCAGCTGTTTTTTCCTCAGTGCTGGCGCTCTGACCTCACCTTCTCCCAACGAACTGCTGCCTCTTCCTTCAGTGTTCTGTGGTCCCAGAACTGGGAGATGGCTTCCCAAGTTGTCCATACCCTGTCCACTTCCAGAATTGGACCTGCTCAGGGTTTATAGACGGTGCTATTAATAGAACTGGAGTGCAGCAGAATTGTTGCAAAGTGTCTAGGAGCCAGATTCTTTTTTCATCCTTTGTAAAACAGTGGGCCAGAAAAAGAGTCTAGAATTGACCCGGATGGAAAGTAATTGGTATTCTTAATAAATACTCCGGTTGATTAATATCCAGGCAAAGAAGATCCTGGAACCAAAACTCTCAGTTTCTGTTTGGCTAAGGACTAAAGTACTGGATGGTGACTGGATACAGCAGTAGCTCAAGACTTAGCTGAAGTCTCTGACTGCTTGAGGAATGCCAGGAGGAGCTAGTATGTAGTCTTGGTGGCCCTAGCAAAGCAGTGTTGCCAACACCATCATTGCCAAAAGGGCCTTTGGGTCCTAGACAAAGCTTGGCTGCTGGCTTCACTCCTGCTGACAGCTGAGAAGTATCTGTCTTCCATCCACTCCACTCTCCTGTCCAAAGTTTTGTTTTCTTATTATTTTTTAAATTTTTGTTTTAAACTGCATGTTTTATAAAATAAAAGCAAAAATAGTATTGGCTGTCATCTGTCTCATTGGAGACCTGCGAGTGTGGGGTTCTCAAGACTTCAGTCCTCCTCTCCTTTTTGTTGGATTACAACTTTTCTATTACAACTGGGAAAACCTAAGGCTTTTTAAATTCCCACCTAGAAATGAAGGTAAAGCTCTGTGGAGTCCAAAGTTAAGGATATTGGGGGAGTATAATTGTGGCTTTCCTGGACAATGTTAGGTCTTTGCTGTGACTGCCTAGTACCCTCAAGGGCAGATTATTTTAAGATGTACAGTATGGTTTCCCCGTTAACTGTAAAAGGGGCGTGGGGAAGCTGACAAAAGTACAGGTCCCAGGATAGCTTAAGACCTGTAGCCACTCTGTGGTGCTACGGTGCTTCCTGGGAGATGTAGTTTCCTAGGTTTTGAAACTAGGGCTTATTACTGGCTAGCAGCGCACCTTTTTTAAAGGTCCTGCCTAGCCCACCTAGACTGACCACACACGTTCGCCTGACCACCTCCATACACCACGCCAGGATTTGTCCTTGCTTCCAGCCACTCCAATTCCTCGGCTGACCCCTGGTGGTCACGTGGAGCTGCACGCCACGCAAGTCTGGGTCCTTCTGCTAACCACTGGGGTCCTCGCTGCCTAGGAGCCGCTCCGAAGCTGCCTGTTCGCGCGAGAGTTTAGAGGGGCGGGTTTGGGGTCGGTCCCTGGTGTGAGGCTTGCGCCGCAGCGCACCGGAGCCGGGCTTAGGCGCCCACTTAGTGTGCGGGGAGCTGGGTCAGGCGGTCGCCGGGGCACCCTGTGTCTGAAAAGCGCCGGAGCGCTCTGGAGAAGCCCGGACAGCCCCGCTCCCTCGCAACCAGGTGCTAGGGGCCAGAGCTAAAGTGAGAGTCCGACCGTCTTCCAGCGCCTGGGCCACGGCGGCGGCCCTGGGAGCAGAGGTGGGACGAATGCAAGTGGCGCTGAGGGTCGGGGATGGACTGGAGCGAAAGCAATGGAGGGGTTCTTAGAAAGGGGGCTGGTCCGCACGGGAAATAGTTTATAGGCTGGAGGTGGAGATGCAGTAATCTCCGGTGCTGGGTCCAAATAGGCCCTACTTATTGAGCGTGCTCTTCACGGGCCAGCCACCTCGCTGCCTCCTGGCCTCCTTGCCAGCAGCTCCTCTGTGCCTTTCGTCCTCGCTTAATCGCCAACCCCCGTTCTGTAGCTGCCACATAGCCCTGTGAGGTCTAGGCGGCCGACGCTGAAGTACCAACAGCTAGGGCCTCCCTCACCTGTCGACGTAGTGTCTGGGGACTGAGCCCTCAGTCCTGAGCTCGCTGTCTCACCCACCGCCCGGGGCAATCCCGAGTCGCCGAGCGCCAGAACAGAGGAGTCCCTTTGTGTCCCAGCCATTTCCTGGAAAGTAGAACCAGAGTCACACTAAGGCCTTTGTAGGCCTTGGGATGAGGGATGAATTGGAGGAATGGAGCCGGCTTCTCATACTTCTGCTTTATTCCAATCCAAACCCAGGTGGAGCAACCCCATTACGTTAAAGATGAAAGGCTGGGGTTGGCTGGCCCTGCTTCTGGGGGCCCTGCTGGGAACTGCCTGGGCTCGGAGGAGCCAGGATCTACACTGTGGAGGTAAAGACAGAGAAGTGGGAGGGAGGAAGGAGGGTGGGAAAGACAGGGCTTGGGAGGACACAGATCCAAAGCCTGAATAAGAATGAATGGGAACCCGTATTGATTCCTTTCTCTCCCTTCCCCCTCCCCCATCTTCTCTCCCCTGCACCAGCTTGCAGGGCTCTGGTGGATGAACTAGAGTGGGAAATTGCCCAGGTGGATCCCAAGAAGACCATTCAGATGGGTTCTTTCCGAATCAATCCAGATGGCAGCCAGTCAGTGGTGGAGGTAACTGTTACTATTTCCCCAAATAAAGTAGATCACTCTGATTTTGAATGAGAACTCAACTAATTAAGGAGGAGCTTGGTTTAATAGAAATGAAGAAAACATTGACCCAGAGAGGTATCTTAAAGATAGGGCTGTCTCATGTGGAAGAGGCTGAAGGCTTATGCCCTATGCACTTAATTCCTGGCTCCAAACCTTAATATTTTGGTTCTGCTGTAGAAGTTGTTAGCAGACAGGGAACCCCCTTCTCGACACCCTAAATCCATGTGACTTATGTTTTCACTATGGCAATATAGTATACACAAAACATTCAAAAAAGAAACAAGGTCTTATTCTTGTATTTAGGAAATTTATTTTAGTTGAAAACAGAACACATATATAACAAAGCTGTACTTAGTAAACAATAAAGAAATGTTAAGGTTGTGATGCTTGTGAAATGATTTAATAGTTGTTATCCTCAAGCCTGCACTACCTTTCTATTGCTGTCCTATTGAGGGCAGGTTTTAGTCTCAATAGAAAAATTAAAATTACCTTACATCCATAAGAATTAAGGGAATTCAAAGGAGAAGAATACATAGTTGATTAGGTTAATCAAAGAGGTCTCTGTTTGTAAGTTGGACCTAATAACACCTGTTTTATTTCTTAGGCTTGTATACCAAGGTAAAATAAGACCATATATTTGAAAAAAGCACTTTGAAATTACACAAATAAACCATATTGTTTTTAAATACAGCAGGCTTTTGAGAATCTAGCTTTTTACAATAGCTAGATTTGGAAGGAAAAGTAAGACTATAAATTACTAATGTACAGAGGTAGAAGAGTGTGACCCAAGGCTGAGGACATTTCTAGGTGCCTTATGCTCGCTCAGAGGCCCACCTCACAGAGCTACTAGAGGAGGTATGTGACCGGATGAAGGAGTATGGGGAACAGATTGATCCTTCCACCCACCGCAAGAACTATGTACGTGTAGTGAGCCGGAATGGAGAATCCAATGAACTGGACCTACAGGGCATCCGAATTGATTCAGACATCAGCGGCACCCTCAAGTTTGCGGTGAGCTATGGAAGTGGGTAGCTGGTTCTTAAAAATTAGGGGAGTTATTGGAGAGCTCAAGTGGAAAGTTGGGTTAATATCCTTGTCTTCTCTGGAGGCAGAAGCAAGAGGTCTCTTCATGCTGCCCTCTCTCACTTGTTTCTCCCTTGGGTTGGCAGTGTGAGAGCATTGTGGAAGAATATGAGGATGAACTCATTGAATTCTTCTCCCGAGAGGCTGACAATGTTAAAGACAAACTTTGTAGTAAGCGAACAGGTAAGCTACTCCCACTTCCTGTCCTCACAGCCCTGTGGAAACTGGTACATTCCTTAGTGTGCCCCCCCACACACACACACACACCAGTCCTCTGATATTAGCTCAAGAGTTGGCTTCCATTACCCATGGCTTAGGGACTTGGGTTGTCCCTCTCCATTCTCTTCCTGTCAGCTTTCAGAATTTGTGGCTCCCTCACCTGAGGCACAGGTGAGAGGATAATGGGAATATTTTGTCATTTGAAAGCATGTGCTCTGAAAAATGGTGGTTGGGATGTGTATCAGTTTGATTTGGAGTATTTTCTTGAGAGTGGCATATATCAGTGTAAGAGTGGCATTTTCCTTCAAACTGTTATGTGCTGTTTGCAGATCTGTGTGACCATGCCCTGCACATATCGCATGATGAGCTCTGAACCATTGGAGCGGCCCAGACTGAGGCTTGATGGATCACCCCCAGGAGGGGAAGTGGGTGGCAATGCCTTTTATATTATGTTTTTACGGAAATGAACTGAAAAAATATGAAACTACAAGTACGAACTGTGTTGTCTTTTCATGCCCAGAATTAACCCTTACATTAGGCTTGAAGATAGGGGATTCCAGACAGGAAAGAAAAGGGAAGGGAAGGCAGAGCTTTGGGAATGGTCTGGCATGAAGGCAGGAGGAGCCTGAAGCTGTCATTCTTTTGCCATCTGAGATTCCTGCTGCACTCACAAAGTAGACAAACATGTATTCAGTGCCTACTCAGTACAATGTGTTTAAAGTTTAACAGTTAAGAGAAGGACCCTTTATGAATAAACAAGAGAACATAAGTAAGTGCATGGTAGTATAGGATTCTATTGGGTTGTCAGAAAAGTCATGAATTTTTGCAATGAAAAACATAGAAAAAAATACGTCATGACTTTTCCGATAACCCAATAGAAATAACTTGTATCCATACTGATGAAACATAAAGTAAGACAGAGCTTGGTCTTGAAGGAAATAATGGACATGCATTATTCTTCACTCCCTGCCCTTCCAGATGGAGGGATCAGCAAGAGCATACAGGAATGGGAAAATGGACGTGATCAACTCAGCTGAAAAGTAAGGGCTTTATCAGATAGGGAGAAGTTAGGTAAGGAATGTTACTTAATGAAAGGCCTTGCTTGATGACCTAAGCTTTTTAGATTTGATGCCAATAGCAACACTAAAGTATACCTTTTTCATCTCTATCACTAGCTATTATTAATCTAGACTATAAGCCTGTCCCTACTTTCTGTATGTAGAGATTCTGTACTGGGGCATAGGGATGAAAATATAAAGCATACCTTCTCTGAAGAGCATATTAAACAACCTGATCCTGAAGTCTGTCTGCCTCAGAGTTTGGAATGGAACATTCTGTCCCAGAAATGCCTCAGGGAGAGAACACCTGAATAAACATTTTAAAGACTTTAAATTAAGCATTGTAGACTCTAAAGGGAACTTGGAGGTCATCTAGTTAGTTCACCTCTGCCCATTTCACATATGAAGAAACTGAGGCCCAGAGAAACCACAGGTTCTGAAGTTCTGCATTTAGTGGCAAAACTGGATCTATAAGCTAATGTTCCCAAGAGTCAATCTGAGCTGATATAGCTGTGAACTAGCTTCTGTTTTAAGTTTTTTCCTCTTATTACCTTATTACAGAATGTGTTCAACAAAGCCTTTTTATACCACAAATCTCTATGAAATCCAGCACGTGAATTAGCTCAGAGCAAGTACCCTGATATTAGTTGACAACTACACTCAGGGTCTAGTGTTAATTTCTTCTCTCATCAGTCAAACGGAATGCTATATCCTATCAAGTCAATTTTCCAGAGTAGCTGTTACCTTTTTGTCTTCTGATGCATATGAATAATGTTCATGTTTCATACCCCTGTGAGTATACCCAGGATTCTGTCCACTGCTGGCTTGGTGTCTAAACACTTCTTACTCATCCATCAGAAAGCTTATCAGGGCTGGTCCGAGTGCAGTGGTGTCTACAATTAATTGATCACAGCCAGTTACAGAAAGCTTATCAGAAGTGTAAGTGAGGGTACTCATATAGGGAACTTGAAACTTAATTTACAAAACAAATTATTCACAAGTTTTAATAACTTTAATGTTAGTTGGTAACAAATTACTGTATTCCCCATGTATAAGACGCTCCCATGTATAAGATGCACCTTAATTTTGGGGCCCAAAATTTGGGGAAAAAAGTATTACATAAAGTTATTGAACTCAAGTTTTATTCATCATAAAATTCACACAACTCCTCATCACTGTCAAAACTCCCAACCATTAGCTTGTCCGCATTTGTGCCTGATGATGAATCACTGTCTTCATATATTGTCTCGTCCTCAGCGGGAAATGCAAGTAAAAAAAAATCTACAACCACTGTATAAGACGCACCCAGTTTTTAGACCCCCCAAAAGGGTGCGTCTTATACATGGGGAAATACGATACTTGTGATGCACCTCACTAGTTTGTCAAGGTACAGATGTAAAGAACTCTCTAGCCCAGGTCTCTGTCATTAGTTCCCAGGGATGTGTCCTACACAGGGAAGGGCAGACATTAATTACCACCTTTGACTTGATCCTCAGAAAATTAGAAGGACATACTTTGCACATCTCTTAATTCATATCACAGCTTACCATAAGGAATCCATGGATGTATCTAAACCCTTCTAGAGGCTCACCATAAGATTATTCTAGCCCAGTATTCAGTAGAGCATATACTCAGTCCTGCATATCTGGTTACACTTTAACCTTTAGATGCCTTTTAAATGAATTTATCAGTAAAATGTTAGAACTTAAACATTCCCAAAGTCAGTGTTAAATGAGATCCGGGTGTGATTAGGAAAATTTATTATGTGAAAATCTAGTCCTTTAAAAAATAAGTTTTAGAGGATATTTTTTGCTGTTAAAAAGGATTCAGAGCAGGGACAAGATTCCTTTAAATACAGGACAGGGATGACTAGCAAGGGAAAGGGAATTAGTACAAGTTGACCCTTGAACAATGTGGGAGTCAGGGGCAACAATTCCCACACTGTTGAAAATCCATGTACAACTCTGGACTCAATAAAAACAACTACAGTTGTCCCTTGGTATTAGTGGGGGACTGGTTCCAAGACCCCCTGTGGATACCAAACATATGCAGATGCTCAAATCCCTTATATAAAATGGCGAGGAACAATGCATACAGTTGGCTCGCCGCATCTCCGCATTCCCAACTGCAAATAGAAAATAACTGTTTTTGATCCATGGTTGGTTGCATCAACAGATGTGAAATGTGGGGATTCAAAGGGCTGACTATATATTTAATTGAAGAAAATCCACATATAAGTGGACCCACGTGGTTCAAACTCATGTTTGAGGGTCAACTTGCATATGTTGAATATAGCAAACACATACATATGATTTAATCTTTACAACTCCTAAGAAATAGATGTTACTCCCATTTTCAGATGAAGAAATTAAGCTCAAAGAGGTTGTACTTTGCTATTCAGTGGTGAGCCAAGACGTCAATCCTTGTGATCATTTTACCCTTAGTCCAGTGGTCCTTCTGCTATAACTTGCTCCTGTAGTGGAGTCTCCATGTAATCCCCCGTGACTGTGAAAAGTAGTACTTTTGTTTGATTGAAAACTACCACCAAGTTTGAATGCATGCCTTCTTATTCTAATAATCTATAGTGGAAAAGCACTATATCCTCTTTTCAGCCATTTTTCCAAACATTATTCCATATAAGAAGCCCATTGTACCCCCCCTGGTCATTTTAGGTGCTAAATGTTTGTCTCCCTTACCTTTATGTATTTTGGGAGAGTCATCACTTACCATGTATTTCAGGTATGAGTGTACAAAGGTTTTACAGATGAGTAAGACTAATTGTTCCCTATCTTTTAAAATATTTTAAAATATAGCAACACATTGTGATGATATGCCCAGGAGATTGTTAACAATGACTCAAAAGTCCCCTTCCTGAGCTGCAGCTGACAATTCAGTCATCACCATATAAACAATATGCCTTAATAGTTAAGATACTGCTTCTGGGGTGAGACCAACCTAGGTCTCAATTCTAGCAATGCCTATTACAGGCTATTGCCCTGAACAAGATACTATATCTAAAACCTTGGTTTCCTCCTCTGTAGAGATATTATTACCTATATCCCCTAGAGTTGTTAAGATTAATTAAGATAATGCATGTACCACATTTATATAGTATCTGGAAATAGTATTCAATAAATTTTAGCTATTCCGCCTTAAATGCAGGAGTTTGGTTTACTAATGTAGATAGTCAGAGTTTAGATTGCATTCTCCCACTTATCCTTGGCCACCAGAGGGCACCATAGCCTCTGTCCATTTTCAAAAGGTCCTCTCAAGGTCAAGATGACCTTAGTGCTCAGCCTTCTCTCCCTGGCCCCCTCCAGTTCTCAGGCACTTAGTTTTATCTGGGCCTAGAGCTCACTTAGCTGTTTTATTCATACCAGTCCTTCTCCCTTAACTTTATTCCCACCTCCCCAGGTCCCATCCATGTTCAAAAAAAGACTAAGCCAACTGATATAATAATAATAAACCAAAAATAATAATAACAGACAATAAAAATAAAAAAAGACTAAGCCAGCTTCTGGGAGATACCATTTAGTCCCTTTGCTCCCCGAGTTTTCCCACTGGTCTTACAGCAGTAGATGTCAGGACCGAACAACTTCAAAACAAATCCATATAGTCCTCATGATTCTAGGCTCCAGGACACTGTGTCAAGGTGCTTAGAGCATTACTGTTCCCTGCCCTCCTTCCATCACTAGAGCACCAAAATAGGTTAGGCTTATGGCCAGTCAATAATTATCCCTTTGGTATCCTCACCCTGAGAATGCCTCCTGTCTCTTGGGGCACTGGAGTTCAGTCCTCTGGTCTGCTGGCTAGTCTCTGTGGATAATTAACCAGAGAGAAGAAACCAGGTCAGACTATTCTAGGGTTAAGAGGAAATCCTCTGCTAAATTGGGATCAAATATTGATCAGTAGAGCTTTGAAGTCACCGATGAGGTTGCTGAGGTCACTGCTCCTCTGGGGCACTGGTTGGTTTCTCTTTATGAAGTTCTTTCCTAAGACCTACCTACCTAATCCCAACCAAAGGAGCACAGGTATGTAGGTGTGAAGCTGGGTACGAGGAAACTTGGCAAGAGAAAATGGTAGTTTTCTTTCTCTTTTTCCAAGTCCAAGCTATAAACTAGGTCTATCTAAACCTGGCTTAGATGGTACTGAGACCTCTGAAACTTGTTACTGCTATGTGAGGAGATAAGAGGACTGTTCACTTGGGGCTTGGGTTTGTAGATAAGATGCCCTGGTCCTTGAGTCAGTTCCCCTCTGCCCTTGGGTCAATGACAGTGATAGGTTTAGGGTAATGGAAAGGTCCTCAGGTCTTGTCTGCCCAGAGGAGTTAGTCAAGAGTGGTGTGGAAGATCACTTTAGTGCCATGGTTCATTTAATGATCTCTGGGGAGCACAGGATAAGGGTGCATAAAAGATAGCCAAGTAGGAGAAGGGGTCCAGAGATCCTATGGGAGTAAAGAGAGTGATGTGACAAAAAGGGAGGGTTGCCTAATGCCTGAGTTTGGATGAGGGTTCGGTCTGCAGCTCCTGACCATAAAGCAAGATGTGGGGTGGGTTGGCTGTATGGGGTTACATGACTGGATTTGTAGTGAGACTGATGCCCAGGACACAGAGGCTCTGGCCTGTGCTGGAAACATCCATATTCTGAGGGCATTTGTAAGACTTGGATTTCCTGGCACTAGACCCAGAACTGACAGGCCACAAAGAGCAGTGGATATTCATGCTCCTGCCTTTGCTTTCCTTCTCCACATATTGCTGTCTGTTAGAATTTATAATAAAATGGACTCTGCTTACCTCAAGTGATCTCCACCAAATGGCTAACTCTGGCATCATAGCCTGTCTGATGTCACCTCTATGGCCATTAAGTCATTGACCAAAGACATTCCAGAAAGCATGCCAAAGGGGTTAGGAGAAGCGGGAAATTATCAGTTGCTGTGATAGTATATTAAGGGGTTAGCTCCCGAGGACCTTCAAAGGTCGAAGTCCTTGAAGCTTTTTTGCAAATATTCACCTCAGAACTAACCCTGAATGTCTTAAGGAAAAAGCCTAAGAAGAAAGTTAACTGAGTTCTCAGGCAAATACCTAGTCACCTACACGCTCCTCCTCCCATCCCCCCCGCCCGGATCCACCCTGAATTGGCCTAACCAGCGGTCCAATCTTCCCCGCCACAACTGCTGTCAACGGCTCAGGTCCCGCCCCCACCTCCAAACTGGACCAATGGCCGAGCCCAGGGCGAGTTCCCTGAGAGGGGCGAAAGCGGGTTCCGGGCAGTAGGCGGGGCCTCGCTGAGGACCTCGGGCTGGGCGCCGCCGCCGGTTCGTCTACCCTTTCCCTTGGCCGCCTCCTTTCAACCTTGTCCACCCGTCGGCGCGGCCTCTGGTGCAGCGGCGGCGGCACTCGTTCCTGCCGCAGCTTTCTCCCCTCCTTCCCTTCCCTCCAGATCCCTGAGTTTGCCCGGCATGGCTTTACTCACTGCGGCAGCCCGGCTCTTCGGAGCCAAGGTGAGCAACTGAAGGAGGGAGCGCGCCGTCCCAGGGTGGGGCTGAGGCGACCGCGGGCCCTCAAGCTCCGGGGTCTCCCTCCCCTACAGATACGCACCCCAGCGCGCCTTAAAGGGGCCCTGTGCTTGGCTGGCCGCCAGTTTTGCATAGAGCTTCTCGGGCCATGTGCTACGCTGGCTTTCCGGCCCCTGGGGGAGAAGTGAGCGCTGCCTGCTCTCGGCGTGCGGTATTGGGTGGGTGGGGAGGCCGGACCCAACTGTCACCCCGCATGTTTAGGGTGTAGGAGGGTGATGCGTGTTCGTGGAAAAATGAGCCGCCGGTGGAGAACACAGGTGCTGTGTTCCATCGGAGTTAGGAAAAGAGCTTGTTTGGAGGAAGGTCGGGGGTGAGAGGAGTGGCAACATGAACAGACGTGCTCACTCTACCTGGGCCAGAGCTGGATCGGTGGTTAATTTCGGCTTCTGTTTTGTAGGGAGGGTCTTGTCAATTTCTGAACTGTGTTTTCCATTTCTGCAACCCAATTATTTAAGCCTTTAGTGACCAAACCATAGCAGTTCCTGCTAGAGGAGTGGGACTCGGGTCCTCTTTGTCCTTGGGACTTTTGCACTTACTTTTTATATAGGAGGGTTTGGGTGGAGTCGAGCGCCCCTTTCAAATCTGCGTGATTGTTACATGTTATTGGAGAAAGAACCAGGATTGTTTCTCCCAACTGCATGCCATTAAGTGAAGATACTGGGCAGGAGATAGTAACCCCAAGGTCACATGACCAATCCTACTACTAGATCCATCCTGGTTTTGCTGTTGCTCCTAATCAACCCAGGAGAGATTCCGCTCATTTTGGGGGCCCTTTACTTGATTTTTGTTGACTTTTGGTTCATAGGAGTATTGTTGCAGGTAATGGTGCTTTCAATTTCAAATTGCCAGTACTTTTGTCTCTGTATAACTTGGCCCTTTAAACAGAGAAACGGCAGTGCCGAGGGAGTCCCAGCCCTCTAATCCAAGCAGGGACAGTCCCAAAAGTGATAGTGACACCTGCAAAGAACTTATTACTTTTCTGCAGACGGATTAAAGCTGCCAGCACCTGAAGGAAAGGAAAGTCTTAGAATAGTTTTGGCTTGCATGGTTGGCAGATAAGGTGAAGCCTGTAAGATTTTTACTAGGTGGATGGAGGCTAATCATTTGGGACATACTTGTCTTACTTGACTGTTTTTTCTCCTGCTGCCAGGGAACCACAGGGTAAGGAATCCTCTTGGGAAATGAAGCAAGTTCTAGATAGTGTTTTGGCAGAAGAGGGGACACCATAATTAGCTCACTGCAGAGCTGCTAACCCAGACCAGATAGTCTAACCCTGCAATGAATTTGAAAAAGGCTTTAGAATTTACCTTTTGAATTTATTTTGTCTCTTAAGCTTCTGGGGAAGCTCAGAAAGTTTTTAGGGTGACAGGCTAGATAATTGTATCATTTTTATTTTGTTTACTTTTCTGTTAGAAATGGACCGGTCGATCCCAGAAACCTGTAAATTGGAAGCCATTACAAGGCTTTTGACCCTTAAAAAGTAGCAAAGCCCAACAAACTCAGGACTGAAAATTTCCAGAGTTCTAAGCAGAATGACCAGGATACCAAGAAGCCTTTTAGTTTGTCAGCATTGTTAGTACCTGCCTGAGCTTTCCAGAGCCTGCAGCTTACTTGGTACTTGATTTTACTTTTGCCTTTAAGGTAGGCTTTAGAAGGCAAAAATAGTCTTCTGACCTGGAAGAACTGACCTCTACCACTTTGATTCTCAAGGTCAGATATAGTTTCACTTTTCTGAGAAGAAAGTTTTTTTTAACCTTGCTAGGAGACACAGGTGTTAGTCATTCTATCGTTTCACCCTACGCACAGATAATTTAATGAACACCTGAGTAGGAGAGAGAGACTTATAAGAGCATTTCTATTGTTTGACTTCTTGTTTATCCAAATGAATTCATACAAAACAGTGGCTTTATTATTAGCTGTTGGTGGCTTAGGTTTGTGGTGTACATACTATCTTTTCACAGGTGATCTGGGTTTGGATTTGGGCTGGGAATTGGAATAGGGCCACCAGTTCACTTCTGGACTCTTAACGCCAGTGTGACAAACCAACCCTAGTTACTTCCTTTGCCATTGAGTATTGCTTCTCTAAGCTTGGGTGTTTGCTAACTTTGAGTAAATCAATCCAAAAGTATTTCTAGATTATTTTTAGACTTTTTCAAGACACGTAAATTAATTCCCATGATTCCTTTATTGCAGACCTATACCATTGCACAACATCTTCTATATAAATCCTAGTTTGAAATTGGGTTCAACCAAAGTGAGTCAGTTTTGTCCTGTGAAATATTACTTAGGCTTAAAGCCAAGTGCTGATTAAAGGCAAGTGCTGAAATCTCTGTACCTTCACTTTGATTATTAGCCTACCCAGTGGCAACTCCTTGATGCTTACTAAATGGACCAAAGATGAAAAAGGTAATGCCTCATGTACTAGTGATGGGATGAGTGCACCTGTTCTTCCTAGCGGCCTTTAGATTGGTAGCAGGTGAACGCATGGGTGTGGGGAAGCAGCAAGGTGAAGTAGATAATCAGAGAAGGGAAGGCTGGTATTCCTGGTTCTTAGAATCCTAAAATCCAAGTGGGCAGAAGGCAGGAAACCAGACTTGGTGGATCTTTCTAAAGCTACACAGTAATTCCTTTTGCCCTGTTGCACTGCTTTATGTGACAGAGTGGAGTGGGATGTAAAATTTAAAACAGTAGTGAGGCAACTTTAGCATAGATCTTTCTTAGGGCCTGACTGCCTTTCAGTTCTTCCTTCAATTACTCATACTCCTTAGATCCTTGTATTTCTTTTAACATACTATTTTAAAAAGGTCTGTAAGTTCACAGTAGGCATCATCACCTGGGATGCTTGTTCATATTGCACATTCGTGAATCCTACCTTCAGATTCTCATTCAGCAAAGGTGGGGTGGGATCTGGAAACATGTATATTTTTTTTTCAAGTAATTGACTGGCAATGCTTGGTAGTCCTTTTCTGTTGGGCCAGTAAACTACATGCAGTCCTTTTTGTTTGCAGCGTTATTGAATGTATATATGAAACTTTGAGTGTTTGGGCATTTTTCTTTTTTTTTTTTTTCAGGATTAGTGATTATTTTAAAAATTAATTTCAAAAGTGACTATTTTAGTCCATTGTAGGCTATTTTCTCTGGGTTTGTCTTTCTGCAATAGGTCTTTTTTTCAAATACGTTAGGAAAAGTTTCTTGTAAATACCTCTAGCAAAGTGTTAGGAGCTAAAACTTGTAAGAACTTTTATTATTTATTATTTTAAAGAGGGCACAGCTCACAGTGGCCCATGCAGGGATCGAACTGGCAACCTTGGTGTTATTAACACCATGCTCTAACCAGTTGAGCTAACCGGCCACCCCAAAACTTGTAAGAACTTTTCGTAGAAGTGAGGGAACAGTTTGTAGTTCCTGAGAAAGTATTAAGGTGACAGACCCTATATACTTTATTCACTAGTGTACTCTTAGTGCGCACATATTAAGTAGGTGTTCAGCAAATATTTAAGAACAGTAAGGATTTTTCTTGGCTCCTAAGGAAAATTAGGACTCTTGATTCTTTTCAAAGGCTGATTTGGTGTCATTTGTGGTCTTCCTCACTGAATGGTCAGCAAACCTTTAGGGAAGAGTCTATTAGGAAATGACAGGTAGAATTTTAAAGGAAATTCCTTGTAAGTATGAAAGGGGTCAAAATATGAAATCTGATTACTCTGCTCATGCTAGTAAGTGGCCAGACAGAGTAGTGCAGGCCGACTTCCACTATTACCATTGTGAAACACAGATGTTAAATGGCTTTAGTTCTCTGACCTGGTTCTGGGGAAAGAGGAGCCTTTGTCTTGTGCGTGTTCTTTTTTTTCCCCTTAATTCAAGTTGTTGTTCCTTCTGCACCGGAAGCCTTTGTAGCACAAGATTTTTCCCAACAGTTATTAGTGCATTATGTTTGCTGCTTTAACTAAGCCAGTTCTGCTGGCTTAACAAGCTCTGGTCTCTTACTTGATGAAGGACAAGGGCTTTATTAAAATCAGGAGCATTTCTCTCAAGCTTTTAATCTTGGAGTTCTTGGATGTGTGGCAGGATATGTTCTGAATGTGCCTAGGGTGGAGAGAGTCAAAGAAAATTTTCGCTTTTTCCTTGTAGAGCAAGGGTCCTTGATGTGGAGCAATGACAGTGGTAGGCTAAGAGGAGTAATAGGGAAATAACCACATTATTGAATAGGTGCTTATCCAAGTAGGATTCTATGGTTGCCATAATTGGTGAAGAAGGGAGTCATTTTAATTGAATTTTGGTAAGCGATTTGGCCAATACCCTAAGTATTATAGGCAAGTCTTTGGCAGAATTTCCTGCATGTGCTATTAGTCCTTTCCCTCCCTTGGCCCTTTAAGGTACAGATTTTTTTTTTTTTTAAGATTTTATTGGGGAATTGGGGGAGGGGACCAGCCAAGTTGTTGTTCTTCAGTCTTTGTTGTGGAGGGCACCAGTTGCCATCTGGCTTCCCATCGGCAGCTCGTGACCCCTAAGCTCAAGGTGCTGTGTTCAGTCTTAGTTGCGGGTGGGTGTAGCCACCATCCCGTGCGGGAGTCAAACCTGGCAACCTTGTTGAGAGCGCACACTCTCCACTGAGCCATCCAGTTGGCAGCTCAGCTCAAGGTGCTAAGTTCAGTCTTAGTTGTGTGTGGATGGGCATAGCCACCATTCTGTGCGGGAGTCGAACCTGGCAGCCTTGTTGTTAAGAGCGCACACTCTATCCACTGAGCCATCGGGGCAGCAGCTCAGCTCAAGGTGCTGAGTTCAGTCTTAGTTGCGGGTGGGCGTAGCCCACCATCAAACAGGCAATTTTGTTGTTACACCAGCTGAGCCATCCTGCCACCTGTTGGCAGCGACAGCTCAGCTCAGGCACAGCATCATTGGCCCATGTGGGAATCAAACCAGAGGCC